GTTCAAATGTCTGTCTACAGCAGTATTAACCAGTTGGTTTAGCAGTACCCCACTCACCCTACTTACAGCTTTTAATGTCCTTCGCACTGTAACAAAACGAAAGAGCAATAAAGAAGAACTGGTTGAATACAAGAACTAACGAACTATAGAAGTAGAGATTACATGATACCAGATTGCCTTAACTTCCTTACGTCACAGAACTTTAGATGAAATATCATCTTAGAAACAAACAGGATATATGAAGACCAGGAAAGATCAGAGGAAAGGCACAACCCAAGTTTTTTAAATATTGGCTTGTAAGAATTTGACTGATTGGTTATAGGACTTCATCATGAGCTGACATCAGTTAGAGAACCATTGGAAAACCTGCAGGGAGTACTGGACGGCTGTTTCGTCCTAGTTTGAAACTTTTCACAGTACGCACCCACCGCTAGGTTTCGAACCCAGGACCTTCTGGTTACAAGGCGAGCTAGCTCGTAGACCAATAAGCCACTGAGACATGATCCAGTGGACACTTCATGAATTCTAACTTCTGCAAATTCATGACAGAGAGTGACCCCTCTGCCAATGTCTTCGGCGAGTATTTGTCTTCACATCTGACCTGTTGCACCCTACTGGTCACGATGTACCACTAGAAACCCAGGTAACTACCTACCTGAATAGACCTAGTCGCTAGTGAGCATCTCAACTGTCCAGTACTCCCTGTAGGTTTTCCAATGGTTCTCTAAACGATGTCAGCCCATGATGAAATCCTGTAAACATTCCAAGGTATTTAACATTTGACTTAGTTTTAACTTCAGTGCTATCTACAATAAAAAATCATGATGACGAACCAGTTCATGTGAATAATGTATGTGTCTGGAAGTGAAGTTAACAGTCTGACTTTCGGAGAGAATCAGCTTAAGACCACTTGAGAAGGAACACTGACTAATTTTTAATAAAAGTTATTCATTTTGGTACAATCCGATTGAGATTTGAACGGTATAGAAACAGTCGGATCATCAGCATAGTTAACAGAATTGGCTTCCTCAAAAGAAGGCAAGTCATGCAAGAAAAAGTAAAACAGAAAACGAGAAAGGATAACACCTTGAGGAACACCAACTAGAGTAAGTAAGGTAGTGGAGTACTTCCCATTGTAAACAGTGCACTGCTTCCAATCTGTAGAATAGGGATTTAACCATTTATTGTGTCGCAGCAACCCTCTTCAACAAAGACGCCTAGTTGTACAGAGTCAAAGGTATATGTGTAATCAAGGAAGGTAAACCGAATACACTTGCCGCCTGTCTAAGCTGGTGACAGTGTTATGATATACGACAATAGCGGCATCTAAATAACAGCATTGTAGTCAAGTGAAGTCAAGATAGTTGTGGAATACATGAATGACCGGTTGTCTGATTAAATCATTAGGCCATTTAAACTTTCCAATCTGCACGATACATCATGATTTTCCCATTTCATATTGTTTTAATCACTCAGTTAATTTGTAATCTGCACCTACAAACATTTTTAAATAGTTTTCAACCTATTGCTGCATGTTTTTCGAGGAAAATGATGAAAAACTATAGAATGGAAGATAGAAGGAGCAATTTCCTTAAATACTGACAGTACTATACAGATTGATTATGCACAGAAGGGTATCACTTCCAGTTAACACAGATGAAAATTATTTCCTCCCTTCAAATATGAGTTGGAAATTAAATTCTTACAAGTAGTCACTATCATGTACTGTCTAATAATTAATGCATGTGTCCACAATACAGTCAATCACCGTTTCACCTCAGATATATCCTCTGCACACTTGGGTGTCACGAAGTTATATCAGCCCGACGACTCACTACTTTCATCAAACAATGAGTTGCTTGTCAATTTTGTCATAATACACAATGAATGTGCCAGGTTCCTTGAGGCCCTCCTAAGTACTGTAAATTCCCTCCTTCTCTGGATTGCCTCCCACGATCAATTCGTTTATCTGTTCTAACTGAGCTCGGTTGCGAAGTTGTAATATGGTTGTATGCCTCTATATTCCCCTTATACTACCGTTAATAAATGCACTCCCACGAACAGTCGTACGTTTTGTGTATTCTCCACACACTAGTTGTTAAGAAGTATTAACGGCAGATTGGCCACTATATTTTGTGGTTCATGCTAAAGACTTGAATAGGTAATGTGACCGAAGCGCAAATCCAACATTTTATATGGTAAACCGACTTCATTCTAAAGTTGATCTACTTCATATGCTTTAAAAACACTGATATCAGATCAGCTTCATTACTCGTTAGATAACAACATTCCATTACAGAAATATGAGTCTGATTAAAGTACTTTAAAACTAGGGTTATCAATTAATTACTGAGTATGCAGAATAAGACACCCAATTAATTAATTATATGCCAGTTTTTTTTAATCATTTACAAGTATTAACCAAACACTAAAGCCTATGAACTCTTCTTCACTAAACACTCAGTTGTAATACAATTACATTAATCTGATAAATTTAATAATAGGGACAATAATTAATCATAAACTTCAGAAGAACATATATATATGTAGACTGTATAGGGTTCAATAATAAGAAATACAGAAGCCTCTATTAATTCAAAGTTGAATACTTGTCAGAGTTAATGATAAATTATTAGATTTGCGGTTTCTTTAAACGATTATACCACAAAGGTCAGTATTTGGTTATCAGTTGACGAATATACATATTTAATATACCTTATTTAAAAGCGACCTACATTAATATCTTTCTTATTTTCAAGAGTTGATTTGTAAGGATTAAATTTGTTTTTACGAGTTCGATCACGGATTGATATCAGTTAGAGAACCATTGAAAACCACCAGAAGAGTACTGGTGGTGGTGCCGTTCCATCCTAATTTGGATGGAATTCATCGGTAGTGTACAGCCACAGCCAGTGTTCGAACCCAGGACCTTAAGGTTACAAGACAAGTTCGTATACCATTCAGACACTGGGACCGGATTCAATAACCAGCTCATGAATTCTAACTTCTACCAATTCATGATGCATTTAGCACGACCACCAACTAATGCCATTGGTGTGAAATCCATCCTCATACTTCACTGATTAGATCTCATTGATCACAATATCTCACTAGAACTCCAGGAAACTCGGTCCTGTAGCAAGTCACTAGCGAGCATCAGATTGGTTTGTAATGATTAGATCTGTTTATACGAGTTCGACCACGGATTGACATCAGTTGGAGAACCATTCAAAACTAGGGAGTACTGGACAGCTGTTTCATCCTGGTTTGATTCTCAAACTCTAATTGAAACCAGTTCATGAACGGACTTGAAACCAGTCAAACCAACACTTGAAAATTAAGGATTATATTAGCTAGGTGCTTTGTAAAATTGTGGTTACTCCCTGTTAAAGAGTAGCAAGCTAAAACTCAACCTAATTGTATGATGTTATATTTTACTGATTCAAAAACTGATATCAATATTTGAATACCACTCATTTCAACAACCAGTAGTGCTTGCTTATTAGCTAGATCGAAGTTATCTAAACACCGTAAAGCTATTTCACCCGTATGAGGCCGAGCGCATCAGTAGTGTAACCCATTTAACTAAGCTTAGACCCCTGAATCAATTCAAACTACCTTTTGTATTGTGTTACTCGCTTTTCAGTGGGTCTTCGCTAAGCTGATATATAAAGAAAACTTATTTTGAAGTGGACGTGTTTTCTGAACTGGATAGTTAATTTGCGAAGCTTTCATTGCCCTACTCGGAAACATCTTCAGTGCATACTTCAGTTTGTTGAAGTGAGCTTTTAGATTTCTCCACAAGTTTATTAGTCATCTCTTCTGGTGACCTTGAATGTCATGATTGGTTGTTTTTTTTCGTAACAACCGCTCAAACACTACATTGGCCAAAGTGGACTTTCTCTTCGTCTTCGTATCCATGAATATAAACTAGCCGTCAAAAGACATGACACACACTCCCTCATATCACTACATACAGACAACCACGGACATCATTTCGATTGGGACAACGTTCAAATATTAGACAGAGGAAACACCAAGAATGCTAGAAGATTTTTAGAAGCCTGGTATTCCAGTGAGTCGACAATCAATAGACACATAGAGATAGACTGAATTTACCAACCGATAAGAAGGAAATCTTACACACCAGGTGTCAAAGTCCAACTCAAAGAAACAATCAGTTCCAATGCAGGCAGCCAACAGGGTGTGAAAACACACAAAGACAACCAATCACGATGTTCAAGGTCACCAGGAGAGATGATAAATAAACTCGTAAAGAAATCTAAAAGCTCACCTCAACAAATTGAAGTATGCGCTGAAGATGTTGTCTAGTAGGGGACAATGAAAGCTTCGCAAATTAACTATCCAGCTTAGAGAACACAACCACATCAAAATCACCCACCTGAGCTACAAATGTTTTCCATCATATCTAAAGAAAACTTGATATCAGATGCTGTAAAATTAATGTCTGATGCGTCAGTGACACAGCGGTAGGATGCTCGCCAACCACGGATGTGGTCCGGGGTTCGATCTCCAGTCACCGACTCACACCTTTATCTCGCTAACCCAGTAATAAGACTGGTAAAGAGGTGAAGTTGGACATAAGTCTAGCAACCTAATACCGTAAGGATAAATACCACTGCTACAAAAACTTCAAGTCTCTATCTTGAAGCCCCATGTTCCACTAAGAATGTAAAGGAATAAAAAATAGTTACTATCTGTCTAATATCCGTTAAAACTTTAAATTTTGAATATATATCCCATCTAATAATATTAAAAATAAAAGGCTGTAGCATGAATGATTAAGGGAATTATTGATTTTGGGCACTAAATACTACAACAATAGGGCAAAATACAAAACAAACAAAAAGTATATTAGACTCAAGCCCCTCTAATAGTTAATAATAATAATAATAATATGCACTTTCAATTATGTACAAATGTAAAAGAATCCAGACAAAAAATACAATAGTAGAGGAGAGAAAACATTATTATCTTACTTGTCTGGTGTGACTTTATCGAAATCCATTACTCTGAGAAGTATTTTGTCCGAAGGAACTAAAGGTTTCCCTTTTAAATCGACTGTTACAGTCTAATCACAATTGATGATAAGAAGATGAATTAATCATTTCTGAGAAATTGTTACTTACCTCGTTCCATATTGGATCTAGTTCGTCTTCTATCACTTTAGTCTTCTGTTTCACACCTATAAAAAGGATACAAAAATAGATAGTATACATGAGTATATATGTATGAGATAGTTTTGTCCTTTATAGAAATCATCAGTGTCGACAAAAATATGGTATATGGATATAATTCAAGTAAAAACACAAATATATACGATAGGTAGGAGGAAGCCTTAAACCTAGGTTTCGTGCTAGTTGACGAGCACGAATAACTCTGTGGTAACGTCTCTGACTACAGCACTGGGTGATGTGGGTTCGAATCTCAGAAGGGAAATGAGTTCCTTCAAGGTTGCACAAAAACGTCTTGCTGACTGGTGGGTGCCAACTAGCACGAAACCCAGGTCAAGCAAAGCTTCCTGAGGTCGACTGCCACCAACCAACTAATACTATATGCTTCTTTGAAATCATAAATGTGATGAATTCTTAATATATACATAGTCTTTAGGAGGTTTCTGTTACATTCTGAGCTGTATTTTCAACATATTTTTCGTTTTTAACATGTTAAAAGTTTTGAGGTCTGACCATGGATTCATATCAGTTAGTTGAGGGTTGATAACCAGCACTTGGATACTGGACATCTGTTTCATCCTAGTTTTAGACTCACCAGTAGTACGCACTCATCAAGGTGAATGGCTATAGGAAGACGTTTTTTTCTTTGAGTCCTACTGAGAATTTGAGATAAGTAGGATCCACCCTTTCAGGATCACTGATGACGTCCACCGGTGGTAGCGCTTAAAATGATAACTGACAGTAGTTAGAATACACGGGCTGGCCACTGAGTCGGTTTTCAGTGGCTGAATCGTCTATGAGATCACTTTGTGACAGGAAGACCCTGGTTTCAAACCGTGGTGTATGCCAGTGACTCCTAAACTAGGATGAAACAGCTGTACAGTACTTCCTGGCGGTCTTCAATGATCTCTATAAATGATATCAATCCATGAACAAACTTGAAATAAATCAGACCCCCACAAACTAACTGTTGAAAGATAATAGAAGATGAAATTCTTAACAGTTTTTCAATCAGTTTACCACGGGTTTTTTAATTACACGTTTTCGGTGAAATAATTAACATATTTAAAAGGTAGATATTAAAATTTATTCTCTGATAATTCTACATTAGTGAGTAAGTTGATCATCACCTTTCATTTAGGTTGTTAACTCCAGTCAAAAATGAGTAATGCACACTCACTCAGAAGATGTGTAGACAACTGATACTGGTCAAAAATAATTTACAGTAGTACCTTGAATTATATGATAAATGCCAACTGGTTATTTTTATTGGATACTAGAAACTAGTGTGACGAGTCTAGTCCTTTCTTTGGTGCAGAATGAATTCTATCAGTCAGGTTTGCAATATGGCCATCATGCCACTGGGTAGCTCGTCATCACGGTTTACATTGATTTGATGATATTAGATAGTTGCAGGCAATCGGCCTCAGGAAGCCTTGATTGACCTAGGTTTCGTTCTAGTCGGCACTCACCAGTCGGCAAGACGTATCTGCAACCTTGAAGGAACTCATGTCCCTTATGAGATTCGAACCCGCGTCACACAGTCCTGGAGTGCTGCTGCAGACCTGACTGATAGAATTCAGTCTGCACCAAAGAAAGGACTAGACACGCCGCACTGGTTACTAGTGTCCGATCAAAGTATCCACTGCAGTCCTACAGGAAGTCAGTCGCGAGCCCGAATAGCTCAGTAGTAACGTCTCTGACTGCAGTGACACGAGTTCGGATCTTAGAAGGTACATGAGTTCCTTCAAGGTTGCAGATACGCCTTACTTACTGGTGAGCGCCAACTAGTGCGAAACTTAGGCCCAAGGCTTCCTGTAGATTGTTTGTATGAGTTTCCAACATGGAAGACTTAAGTAAACTTCATGCCTCTAGTTTAGGTACTAGTCGTGCCTGCATGAGTGATTTTGCGCATCATTTCACCACCTTCAGTCATATAAATGAAGGATTAGACTAGCTATAGATATAGAATTACAGATCAGCTGAGTCAGTCACTATGATATTATAAATAGTGGGAAGTATTCTATCGCCAAAGATCAGTTGCAGTCTTGTGTCAGTGAAATTTGTCTTTTTGAATGTGACTAGACGGAGTGCCTGTGCATTGCATTCTATCTGGAATACGTCAGCTGAATGTATCATGAATCCAGATGTTTTATGATGTTCAAATTGAAACTTGAATGCGATACGTATTATTTCCCTAGCCTAGTTGTTATGGAGAGATGGTGATCATTTCTTATGAAGTGAATATGAATTGCCATTATTTTCTGAGGGATTAAGCGAATTGAAAACACACTTCATCGTCAGCCTACCGTATTTACTACATGACTGTAAAACAGAAACCATTGTTAAATGCATCTAGTTCTTCATTAGGGATTTAGGTCTAGAATCACCAAGTTTTACAGAAATTATGTAATTAATAAAGTCATTAAGTTTGGATGTATTAGATGATTAATTTCAGATTCTGTACAATCGGGGTATATCGACATCTTGTTGTAGTTAATCTTATATATATATATATATATATATATATATATATATACCTAAGCCCTATGGAGTAACCTAAATCTTAATCCCCCTTATTCACCCTTATATGACAATGTCACATGTCGAGTGATCCACAACGGAAAATGCAATGAAGCTTTTGAAGTGGAAATGGATATAATACAAAGCTGCTTAGTATCACCTATTTCATTGTTAACTGTTTTGGACTAGATTATGTGACACACTGTATATGGGGACCGAGAAGTTAGGAATACACTGGACATATAAGAAGGGTCTGGAAGATCTAGACCTAGCAGATGATCTATCCGTAATGCCATGTAAATTCGAAGGCTTACAGGAGGAAACCAACAAGTTGGTAGAAAAAGCAGACAGGAAACAGATAGGACTTCAATTAAACACAAAGAAGATGGAGGTGATGAGGATACCTAACCGGCAACAAACAGTACCAATCATCATCAACGAAAGAAATTTGAAAGGTTGATTTCCTCCACTTATCTAGGAAGCATCGTTTAAACGAAAGCCAGTATAATGGATCAGAATGTGGAAAAGAAGAACCGGTTAGGCAAGACTGACCTTTATCACTCTGAATTCAGTTTGGATATCTTCTGCACTCAACGTGAAAAACAAAAATCGGATTTTTAACGCCAGGACTAAATCTGTCACTCCACAGTAGTGAAAAGCTTGCACTGTGCGTCACGAAAACATATGAAACAGGCCAAAGACTATCCTCAACAACTGCTTCCAGTGGATTCATACTGAATACCAAATGGCCAGAAAGAATTAGCAACAAGAAACTCAGAACGAACCAGTCAAGAACCTACTGCCCAACAAATATGCCGGAGAAAATAGAAATAGATCAAACACATACTGTAGAGACACCACATGTCAGATTCTCGAGTACAACCCGAATGAGAAACGATGAGTGTCTGAGAGTGCGCCCGAGGGTTACATGGAAGATATCGTGTGTGAAGAGGAGATGACAGCCTATGGGAAATCGTGGGGCCAGCTGAAGAGGACTAGAGAGGACAAGACATAGTGAAGAAGTTCTGTTGAATCCTCATGTCCCACTTGAAATCCAAAAGCATAAGAATAATAACATACAATTGAACCATTTGAATTACATCATATTAGTGTGACCACCATATTCGCAATTCTCCACCGTTATATCTGTATACTCAAAAGGCCCTAGCTGAATTATCCTAATCTATCTTCTGTAATTTAAGTACTCCTAAAACAAATCAATGTGCATCGATGGCATAGCGGTTAAGACGCTCGCCGACCATGCACATGATCCAGGGTTCGATCCCCAGCCACCGACGCACTCCTTTAACTCGCTTAGCCAGAAATAATGCTGGTAAAGAGGAAAGGTTGGGCATGAGGCTAGCAACCCCATCCTGTAAAGAATAAACACTGCTACAGAAACTTCAGGCCATTAGCTTCAAGCCCTATGTTCCACTAGGGAACGTGAAGGAATAAAAAAACAAAAGAAAAAACAAATCAGTTCATTTTTTTCACCTCGGTGTCATCAACAGTGCATTCAGAATTATCTCTATTGTCTAAAGTAGTCATTTATCACAACACAGACATAAAGAAAAAACACAGTCAATTGTTTGTCTAAACGCCTAACTTGACAACTAATCTGAATACCCCGACAATAAAAAAAAACAATAAGATGACGTATCTATCTGCCCTATATTTGGCTTGCTGCAATACAGTCTACAGTAAGTACAGTGTTATTCTGTCATTGAGCCCCAACTATTATACTTTAACACAAGTTTTAACATGAATTTACAAAATTATAATGATAATAATAATAGTTGATTTTTGCTTCTTTTGGACACCGATTACGTCTGTATTTCTTGAACAGCATAGGCATCATAAGATATCAGTAGTGAATGTTGTGTAAGAGGAAGTGGAATTAAAGCTTTGCGGTTGAAAATAAACTGTAATCACAGCAGGTTAAAGCATGAAATAAATATCATGATCAACAATTCAACTTGATAGTGTAAATATATAAATCACATATGGCATATATATTTAACAGTGAAAGCAGAAGTTTCCTTATTATTATTATTATATTTTTGTTAAAAAAAACAAACACGAATCAAGTTTCACTGTGTCAAGTGTCAAATATTAACAATAAAAGTGTATATTTTTAAGAAAATCAGAAGACATTGACAAAGTGGTGTAAACGGTGTTTACAAATACAAAACAAAAAGTTAAATAAATTCAACTTCTTTTGGCTAGGATTATAGCTTTTACAAATCTGCTACTTGTCATCCAACAATATTTAGTAGCATTTCTTGTTAGGCCTTGGACTGTTTTACTGCTTTTTTGTCGACTGTGATAGTACAATCTGATGTTAAATATCCCTTGATATACGTAAAAAGAGCTGTTAAAAAGACACTTGCAGCGAAGAAAATTTTACTTTTCGACAAAGTCATCAACTAGACTGTACATTCGCGTATTTATTTATGATAAATGGGTGGGAAAGTTTCAGAAGAATTTC